ATGTCTTATGGGGTCCGGCCTATGGGTATCTTTCTATATTTGCTGTTTTGTTCCATCTCGGCGTTATTTCAATGGTGTACGAAAAAAGGCAAGAATTCCAATGAGATACCACCAACCTGATAGACTTTCGGTCATGAGTAAGGTCTTGGGTAATTTTAATGGACATCCATGCAATTTCCAGCCATTGCATTTCCCCGCAGGCAGTGTGACACCTGCATAGACCACGTTGTGCCTGATTGTTGTAGGAGTTGATCTAGAACAGCCGGATCCCCTTGTGTGATAGGTAAACAGGTCGCACATGAAATTAGTCTCGACCCCTTCCAATTTTCGATAGTGTCTAAGGCAGTCAGCCCTACCTAGGTACATTTGCGCGAATGTAATCAGTCACACAGCGTAGCGAAGTCAATAATTGTACTAGCAAATCGGGTCAACACAGCGCTAAATATTTAGTGTGAAGAGCCAAGCCTAGACAATTAGCCTTGCATCGTAAAATGAACTATTACTGTGGCGTTCTATGTCTACGCCGATCAATATGATCAATCCCTACGCCCCTCGACCTTGACATTGAACAAGGGATGAAGTACCCCCAAGCGCAGCAGATATCTGTATCAGCCCAATCACCATGCGTAGCGCCCTGGATGACTCTGATCCTCTGTCAACACTAGCCTAGGTCTAGGGACGTATTTGGTATCAGGCACCGGACCTGAGAATCGGGTGGTGACTTTTGTTCTACGCTTCTTCCTTGTGATCAAGGCTTTATCTCCCCCTGTCTTCAAAAAAATGATATAAGGAACTATATACCCTCATTATGCGTCGGGCAAATAATTCTTTCTGCATATACGGCTCTATCATTTAACCAATTTCCTCTTTATATCCCTGAAAATGCATATCAATTACCCCTCCCTTTTAACATTCGCACTCATTTTGGCTGTTACTCAATCAACTACATCCTACCCTATCCGAACTAGCAAATGCGTCAAGACAGAACAATTCCAAGACCCCAATACCCGCGGAATTTGGAAGGTCTTTGAGCAACATGAAGAAGGATATGATCTATTACCCGACCCACCGCACGTCAAATACAACGGGGTAAGTATCAATCCTATTATGTATATTCTCCACTCAGCGACTTATCTATAGCCACTATAGAACCCAGCATGGCCAACCAACGAAAAAAATGAACCAACAGAGCAGGACACACCAAATGATCGATATACAACAGGAACCTCCGAATCGAGGAAGCCAGTCTCAATCCTGATTCTGGAATCCCCAGAAATACCCGATCAAATGATCCTAAAATACTTGCGCACAAAAAACGCTCTAAACAATGAGCACGAACACACCTCGCCTCCATCTTTCTCCTCCTCTTCGGGTTCATCCCGCTTCACCTTCACAACTTTAAGATCAAACTTCCCACAGTATCCTCTTCCGGGGGTTTCTACGACAGTGATTACTCTCCTGGTGCTGGTTTGGATTGTTATGTTCATCATTGGGTTGCTTGAATTGGCGAATTATCTTTGGAGACGAAGGGAACAAGCTTTGGTGAGAGAGAGTGTTCATAGTCTGCATGATGAGGAGGAAGATGTGGGCTTCAATGAGACAACAAAGATGCCCTTGAGGATAGTTATTACTCCTCCGAGAAGCAATGGACTGTGCTCCGTGGGAGAATACGAATATGAGTTCCTTGAGTCTGTTTCTAGTGACTATGAGTCGGACTATGAGTCGGACTCGGGTTCGGACTCGGGTTCGGAATCTGATGAGTTTGATTATCGCATCTTTTGATAGATAGATATAGGAATGACATGACTAGTTGGCTCGATGGTATGTCTTTTAGCCTTTCCAAGCTTTGATACATCTCATCGTTATTTTCGTTGATCAATTCTTGCTAGTCTTGTAGAATGCATCGAACTTGACAATTACATGGCAGAATTTATAGAGTTGATACAGAGTAAGAATAATTATATTTTCAGGTGTTACTGTACATGAGTATACGCAGTCATAAATCATAGCTCATCATAGTCCCAGCCTAGGCCGAGCCCAATCAAAGCAAGCTCTCTTGCATGATCCCAATACAAAGATGAAACTCGTTGGGCCAAATCTCAAACAATAGACTTAAACACGCTGGTCACTCTGCAGGTGCTCATATACAGTATGGCCATCAGCACCCTTCTGATGAGGGCGGGCGGAGTCATAAGCAGTGTGCGCATTACTGCGCTCAAAACGGTTGATAGCCTCACGGCCAGGGTCCTGGCTGGAGCCGATCTCCGAATCGAAGCTGACATTCTTAGCATTGTCGGAGGGCAAACCACCCCCTTTAATGTCGGTCGCGCCGGCGTTGGGCTGACTCTTATCGTTGAGCTGACTCCTACCACCACTGCCGCCGGTGGTAGAATATTCGCCAGCTTTGATGCCCATTTCCTTCTTGGTTGCAGTTGGACCACCGGCATACCCGTTGTCTGACATTGTGCCAGGGAAGTTGCCTTGGCCAACCACGCATTCGGGGTACTTCTGTTCCTCATGACGGTCCTGGCGTTGAGCGGCGGTTTGGGCGGAGGGAAGCTTGATGGAGGCGGAGACGTCGGTGTTGTTTACTGTGGATTGGTCTCCTGAGACGCCCATGGGCTCGGCGCCACGGTTGGCAGAGAAACCGCCACCCTGGCGGACAGACTCAGCAGCAAGCGAGTCATTGGTTACAGGACCAGATGGTTCTTCGACGGGCTGTTGTGAACGAGGATCGTGAGTGACCTTGGTGCCACGGTTGGTGGGAGGAAGAGGAGTGCCTTGAAGATCCATGATGATTAGATTGAAAAGGTAGAAGGGTAGATTGAAGTTGGTGAAGATTTGTTCGGTAGAGAAGAGATGGGAGATAATTAATTGATGAATTCTACATGGCCGTGATGGCAGATCTATATAGGAAAGCAGTGAGCTATGACCCGACCGCATGTTGGAAGTATATGGTTCTCATAGAACTACATCGTATATCAAAGATAATTGATGTCATACTTACGTTAACTAGGAGCATTTGCAAGATATAGGCAAGCTCAATTTCTTGGCTAGCAGCAGTCCATGTCGACTAATTATATTTGAAATACTCTGTTTGGTGGCTGGAGAAACCGATCGAACTCGCATGTGGAGAACATGCTCCTCTCTGATGTATTCATGCTTCCAAAGGGGAAACTATGCCCCCACCTCTTATCCCTGTATCTCCTGAGAAGCTTGACGTTGAGAGGCGATTGACGTCAGGTCTAGACCCTGATATGCAAACAGTGCAAGTCTTAGCATTTAATCTTATATTTTAAACGAAGACGGCATAGCTGTTTTTCATAGCAGCAGACTTTTATATTTTTATTGTACACATGTATAGTTTTGGCTTAACATTGACACTACATGAAACCATAGGCTTTCTAGATCTGCACTATCATAGCCTCCGAGTAGAAAAAAAAGTGAAAACGGTTTTTTTTTTTTCTTTTCAATTATCTATTTGATATAGTACAAACCATCAGCTTGAAAAATTTGCAATTCCAACTTCGTCGCTCATAACTTGAGAGAAAAAATGACTATTACACATAATAAACCCTCGTGATCACATATTAACGGGCCATACCTAGCATCAGTCAAGGTGTGATCTAGTCCTCGTCCTCGAGCCCAAGTTCGTTAGCACTACTGCCGGCAGGAGCACTTCCACGCAGGCCACTGTTATCAGGAGGGAACTCTAAACGTCCAGAGCCAACGCCGGTAATACGTTGGTCGAGGGAATTCCAGTCACTGGCAACTGGGGGTTGATCAGGCAGAGGCAGGTTGGCCTTAACCCTGTCAATTTGTGCGGACTTGTCGGTGTTTTGGTCGATAATAGACTATAGAGAGCATGTTAGGCTATCTGATTTCTGCTTGGCGTTGGTTGCAGATAGCTCACCTTCATTCTAGAGACATTTGAGTCCGCTGGAGGGTTGCCACCGTGCAACTGGGAAAGCTTGGACTCGGCCCTGCGAAGGTCCTGGATGGTGGTGTGGAAGGTAGCATCAGACATTTTGCGTCCGGCTGTAAATTTGATGATTCAGACGAAGAAATGTCAGAAGTGGCTGGGTATGATTTTGAACCTGAAGCCTCAAGGCAAATAAGGACTTATATATCTACCATTTTCTCTGTCGATGGCAAGATGCTGTGACGTTTGCTACAATGACGCCATGGCATCCAATGCCATGGGTATTCTCACCACAGAACCATCTTTGACATGCTTCACCTTGGTTGGGAATTCTAGGCTGTTGGGCCAACAGCAGAGTAATTAACTGGGTGAATCTTGGGGACTGGCATCATAGATGATGGACCACCTGAGGTGGCGAGCCTGCTGATTTGCTTCAACGACAAGATGCTACCAAGATGCTACGCATATGATCCCACTCGAGGCCTGTCGAGGAGCCAACGGATATCTTGAAGCTAAGACGGCCGAGATGTTCTGGACAGATTGTATGCAATATCCTTCAGTCCATTGATTGTCGATGTTCTCACACGTTTCTTGGTATATTTCGATCGCGATCGGGAACCCTCGATGAATAATCGTGGAGGGCAATATCTTAAGCTCGATCAGAGCCTAGTACATCACCTATCTCATGTTTGACAACACAGCAGGAGCCCATTTCAATCAAGCTTGCACAGACCTGGAATTCAAGGACGGGTATAGATATACAACGGCTAGCCATAAATTTCCATCATGAATTATAGCCAACAGACCAGATATCGGTTTCTATCCTCAAGTTATTCCATAATGATTTCAAGGTGCGATAGTAGACGCAGTGGATATCCACTGAAGGCTTGAAGAGTAGCGGCGTCCTAAAGCGGCATAAAAGCATGCAGGTCATGGCTAGCACCGCCTTCCCTTTTAAAGCGGCAGAAAATGTTTCTTATCGAAAGACAGCCAACCCCGAGGCGCGTGGAGACTTGGTGAATCAGGTCATTGTGTTATTCCAAGGATCGTTTGCCCTTCGACGCATCTATACTTCAATATGGGTCGAGATCCGCTGATCGGACTGGTGGGAAAGGTATGTTGTTCCCCTCCATTGTTCTCACACCCCACTGACGAGGGACATAGCCGTCTAGTGGAAAATCTACAACATTGAACAGCTTGACCGATGCGACTTCGAAAGTCGGTAAGTGAACCGAGATGCGATTATGACCAACTGAAACCTAATAAATTATGTTCGGAACAGGAAACTTCCCGTATGTGCTCCCCAATTGTTCTACATGAGCATCTCCACCTTATCGCATTGATCGCGCAGACCGTGTTGACAACCAACAGCTTCACAACCATTGACCCCCAGCGAGCCATCGGATACCTTCAAATCGACTGCCCATGCCAGCGATACAATGTTTCAGATCGCTGCCAGCCCAATTACGGAGCCTGCCACGAAGGGCGACGTTCCGTGCCGATTGAGTTGCTGGATGTTGCAGGTCTTGTCCCAGGCGCGCATCAGGGACGCGGACTAGGTAACAAGTTCTTGGACGATCTGCGTCACGCCGATGCTCTAATTCACGTCGTGGATGTGAGCGGGACCACGGATGCTGAAGGTTAGTTGGGTGTGGGGATTGAATACAATGGCGGGATCGGGTGTTGATAAATATCGCAGGAAAGGCTACTCGAGGATACGATCCCTCAGTAGACATTGAGTGGTTGCGATCAGAGATAGTTCGATGGGTTCTAGGAAACTTGATGGAGAGGTGGTACGTTTGCAAGTGCCAACAAGGGAACGAGGGACAAGTGCTGATCTCTCCTTAGGGGTTCAATAAAGAGGAGACATCAGGCATTGAGTCAGTGGACCTCTCCAATGCTGCTTATGACACCGAACTGACTCTTAGCACAGAGGCAAACCCTGTCGACACATTACAGAAACAGTTTGCTGGTTATGGAAGTACCCACGCCACTGTTGCACGATTTATGGATAAGCTCGCCTTAAAAGAGCCATTGGAAGACTGGTCAAATGAGACGGTGGAGCTCGTTGTTAACGCTTTTATCGACGAGAAATTCCCCACGGTATTCGCGTTGAACAAGATCGACCACCCAGATGCAGACAAGGTACGAATATTTGGCTTATGGCTCATATATTGTTCTGACAGGAATTGCAGAACATCAGCAAAATTGCGAAAATGCAATCTCCCGAAAGCATTGTGCTTTGCTCCGCTATATCCGAGGTGTTCCTCCGAAAGCTGGCAAAGCAGGATTACATCAAGTACGTCGAAGGCAGTGAGTTTATCGACACGCGAGAAGATTTGATCGAGATGGGCGACCCAGACGGAGGAGGCCTCAAAGAGATGGACGAGAAATTGAAAACGTATGTTCCGTGCTCATAGAAAGGTTGTACTTTTGCTGACTGACTTTGCTCCAGTCGGGTTGAGAACATGAAAGATATGGTGCTGTATCGATTTGGATCAACTGGGGTCGTCCAATGTCTTTCCCGAGCCGCAGAGCTTCTAGGACTCGTGCCAGTGTTCCCCGTTCGAAACGTGGCGACATTCAACTCTGGCACTGGAACTGCCGTATTCCGCGACTGTGTTTTGGTCAATAAGTAAGTACTCTCTATTAGAAGGCTGACGCCGGTCTAACATTTCACAGAAACAGTACCGTCGGTGATGTTGCCCGGAAGGTGATGGGCGACGTACCTATCAACTATGTCGAGGGTGTGGGTGGAACTCGAGTCTCCGAGGATGACATTGTGGCAGTTGGGAAACACGACGTGAGTGCCCCCACTAACTACATAATACGGTTTATTGACTGATTACCATGGCAGATATTATCGTTCAAGGTTGGTCGGTAGACCAGTTCCTTTATGTACAGCATCTCCCATGATATGACATTAGTAATGGAAATGTCTTATGGACTCGTTCTCTGCTAGAATCACAAATTTGGGGCGTCGACTTCACCGTCGAGCTCGAAGAACGCATAGCCCATCACAAGATACTTTACTTCAAACCCCCCTGATTAATTCACAGTCAGCAACAGAATTCCCCTATCATTTATGTGAACTGACCTTTTGCCGCTCGTCGTTCATGCCAATGATTGGCTCTGGCGCATTGGGATGCTCCTCTTTAGCCTTCTTCCCACGTTTGGTCCCGCCTCTCTCGGTCATTCCCTGTGACTTGCTTTCATCTGCAATACCCTGGTATGCTCTCCTCTCCTTCAATCCAGAGGCCGCTGCATCTGAATGTACATCGTCTGTATCACCTTTCTGAGACCGCTTGCGTATGTGGTCCTCCGCCGAACTCCCTTTCCAATCCTCGAAGATGGAGTAGTATCGGACCCCAAGTGGTGCACGGAGAACTGGCGGGCGTATGACGGACTGTAACGGTAGGATGACCCGCCAAGGTTGCCGTGAAACAGACATGTTGTGCAGCATTGATGTAGCAGAAAAGATACAGTGGTTGCGCATAGTGGATTGCGAGTAAATCTAAGTACTTGACTCGCCACAACGTTGGCTTTTATGATTATTTCTACTGCGTGCTATGACGTCCCTATGTTGCAATGCGAATTTGTCCAAAAAGGGTAAGGGAGCCGGTTCGAGCGGGCTTATCGATAAGGAATCGATCGTCATCGACGCGACATTTTAACTAAGCGGACGACACCAACCGCCAACTCACTATGAAACGCGAGTATATCCCGGTAGAATCCCTGCCAGCCTGGCAGCGGCTCAGTGGGGTCGTCGTCCAAGGCATAGAAGTGCAAAAGATTGGATCTGATCAACATGGCGCCGACAAAGGCAGTGCGCTCATCGCAACAGAAGCCCAGACGAGCAGCGAGGACGACACAAACCCCAAGATCCTGCTACAAATTCCCCCGGAATTAGTTCTCTCCCTGGAGACAGTCCATAACCATGCCAAAACCGACAGGTATTTGCGCGATGTGTTGGAGGCAATCGGCGACTTTGGAAGGGTATGACCCGGGCCTGCTCCCTTGCGTGTATCTAAAGGGCAAAACCAACTAAGATACACAGACAGCCAGAGGAGCAATCCTCATATTTTTACTCATTCAACTGTCCCATAGCAGCCCGGATCTGCGCTCAGGACACGAGACCATCGGTGTCTCCAATCCCTGGACTGAGTACGTGAAGTTCTTGCCTCCGTCGTTCCCGCTGCCTACCTTCTACACCAGCGAGGAAAAGGAGCTCCTCCGCGGCACGTCGCTGGCCGAAGCTCTCGATGCGAAGCTTACTTTCCTGGATCGGGAGTTTGAACAGCTTCGCGAGGCTACGGAGGGTATTCCGTGGTGCCAGCGGAGCTGGTGGGATGAGAAGACCGGCGCGCTGAACATTGATGATTGGAAATATGTTGACGCTGCTTATCGGTCGCGCATGCTGGAGCTACCCGGTAGTGGTCTGGCGATGGTACCTTGTGTTGATATGGCCAATCATGTCTCCGGTGATGGGGTCAAGGCGCTATACGATGTAGACTCGGAGGGGAATGCCGTTCTCCAGTTGCGATGGGGCAAGAGCCTTCAGCCTGGAGAAGAGGTTACGATTTCGTGAGACTATTCTACGATGGACGAGGTTGTGGACTTGGCTGATATGGCATGACAGGTACGGGGATGAAAAGCCCGCGTCTGAGATGATATTTTCCTACGGGTTTTTGGAAAGCGGCATGACGGAAGCACGGGGGATTGTTCTCAGTTTGGATATCCCAGCGGATGACCCTCTGAGCCTCGCAAAGAAGATGTTCTGCCGGGAGAATCCGGGCCTACGAATCTCGGCCGTTGAGGGCTCTGAAGAGGTGACCTGGGAGAGTGGGCTTGCATGGATGGCATGCGTGAACGAGGAAGACGGACTTCACTTTGGGATCGCACAGACAACTGACGGCGACCAGGAGCTGGAAACGACCTGGAAAGGCGAGAAGATCGAATCAGCTAGCCGTCTCCGCGAGCTACTCACTGTTGATCCTCTGTGGGATATTTTCCAGCTTCGTGCTGCGGTGCTGCTGCTCGAACGGCTCGAGACTCAGCTCGCTCTTCTTCAGGAGATGGAGGAGATTATCACGAATTTACGAGAGGACGAGGCAGATTTGGATTCATTGTTCCGACCTGGGATCTTCGCCTCGATTGCCCAGTTCCGGACATTGGAAGGGGAGCTGCTGGAGAGGGCTGTTGAGGGATTAATAAAACAGGTAAGTCTGTCTACCTGGGTGTCTTACAGGGCCCCTTCTTATTTCTCGCCACTAACCATGACACGCAGAGAACAGAGCTACTGGCATCTCAAACGGTGGCCGATTATTTCAACGCACAAACAGGGGGGCCGGACGAAGCCGAAGACTTTTCATGAATGCGAGAGCCCAGATTGTGTTGATGGGTCTAAAGGCCAGACTACAGAGTACAGACTAGACAAGCAAATAATATCGCCACGGAGGTGTTCAAGCATCCGAAGCATTCCTAAACATCCACCTCCTGCCCAATCTCGTTGGCTAGCAGCCTGCAGCCAGCCCAGTCCCCGCCAGATCATCTCAAAAAAGGTTGGGAGCCCCACCGCCCCTTAGCGCATCGAACTATTCCATGTGTAGAGACTAGCGTCCAATGATGACGAAAAGACAGGGAAAAGAGAGGTATGACGTTCCTAGTGGAAGATCATTGAGTGGAAAAAGGGGTGAGGAATACCACGATCGTAGGGATCTACGTACTACCGGCAGTCTATTACCGTCAGTGCGCCAGTTCAGATTCTGCCTGCAGCCCAGGTTGTACCAATCTCGCCTTGAATATTGTCGAGGCGAATTTTCATGCTTAAATGATCAATGCTTAAATTCTCTAGTTTTATGTGTTGTCTATATTTATCTCTATACTCCATAGTTACTTAGTACATAGTATTATTATTATCATTATAATGCATGTGACTTCTTTCATTTATAGTTTAGTTATGATGCAGAAATTACATCTTCCAACAGCTAATAGAAACAAAATAGAACAGGCAATGGAAAAGTAGGCGAGGTCAAATTCAAATTCAAATTTCAGGTATTACAGGGTCAGGTGCATGCGGGGAAGCCAAGCCAGTTACAGACACGTCCGAGAATCACCGGGCTGGCCTGGCGTTTTCGTAAACGAACTTTGGCCGTGACGATGACGTGAACTCGGTATGCCAGCAGCGCGCATAGTTTCAAGTCTACAATTGGAAATGAGGGAATTGGCTATGGAGTCCGGAGTATGTGCATCGTAGCTGTCCATCGCGAAATCTCCACCCGAACGGAGCCCGGTGGGGCCCGTGACTTATAAAGTATGGTTCGCTGATTTCTCGGACAAAACTCGCTGGACGGAACAGAACGGCACTGTGGTAAGATTACCGATTGAATACGAGGCGTATTATTAATTCGTAAATTGCCCATTACGAGTGCTATATGATTGTCGAACTATATCCCGCGTCCTTGGTTGGGCGCGGATGACAACGACTTAATCGCTTCAGTTGATAGGTGCCCAGGTGGAGCTAGTAGCGCTAGTAATATAATTCACACAAATCCTTTGAAACTCGAGTTGCATTGGATTGTTTTTCCCCCGCGGTTGATCCCTTGAACGAGTTCGCCACTGCAGTGAAGTCTATATCTTACTTCATTATATAATTTAAACCTTGGGGGCTATCCCGGGGATTTCTCGATTCTCGTAAATTAGCGTTGGATTGGGTTTGGTCGTGGGCGAGATGACTTCAGGAGACAACGCGTGGCCAACGAATAAGATGGTACTTTGTGCGCAGTATCCAGGGTGTTCAGTATGCGAACCTTGGAAGGATCGCGGAGTTATCTCGTGCCTTTTTTTTAGTGGAAAGTGAGACATATTAACCGTGGATGGTGGCCGATCATCGGACCAGGATTTAATAGGAAGCCTAGCCAAACCTGCGTTAATTGACACGAGCTGCACAACCCGGGGGAGGAAGTCGGAAGCGGGTTGGGAATTGCCCGCAACCGGGTTGGATTCGAGTCTGCACTCTAATATGTAGCACTCGAAAAGTCTATCTCGGTACTCAATACAGACAAGTAACCCTTCCTTTTCCATATTCCCATCCGTAGATACTGCTGTCCAAAGAGTAGAATGTGGAGTGCGGGGACCGGGAGGATCGGATCCAACCGTTCAGACATAAGAAATGTCGACTGCAGGAAGAATCCGGGGCGAGTTTTGAGCGGTTTACGGGGTAACAGGTATGGAGCAATACCGATTATTAGTTTACCATACACCGTCCAGTTTATTGGAAGGCTCCGAGGTCAGCAGGCTCCACTTTCCACTGACTCAGCGACCCCATCTTCCCGAAGGTCGCCCCCCCCCATGTTTCTAGGCTTCTTTCTGCATACACCCATACTTATCCAATTCAAACTGGTGATTCTTTAGTTGCATTGTCCTGGTATCAATAATTATTATACACAGTGCCTGCGTACACTCCTGGCGCCTTCCAAATACAACCAACTCAACCCCCGGTGGCCCGTGTGCCCCTTCTGCACAACATGCCTGGTATCTTGCCGATGAAAGTGATCAAGGTCGGTGGCACTGGCACCACGAGCCGTATTGCTCAGGCCTGTGACCGATGCCGCAGTAAAAAAATACGCTGCGACGGCGTTCGCCCCTGCTGCTCACAATGCGCCAACGTGGGCTTCGAGTGCCGCACCAGCGATAAACTGAGCCGCCGCGCCTTCCCACGGGGATATACCGAGTCGCTAGAAGAACGAGTCCGGAGCTTGGAAACGGAGGTCAAGGACTTGAAGGACCTGTTGGATGAGAAGGATGAGAAGATCGATGTCTTGTCCCGGATACATTCGTTTACGCCACCACAACGAGCCCCTTCTGCAAGGTCTCCTTCAGCGTGTGCGACAGTAAAGTCGAATACTTCGGAGTCGTCGGATGGCATGTTCCATGTAGAGCGATCGACGACTCGACCATCTCCACAATCGCAGAACCCTTTCGTCGGATTTTCTAGCACACAGGGCTTTGCTGGTATGTTATGCGTTTCCCTTTGCAGGAGACAATCAACTTACATGTGCAGATGTGTTTACCAACAAGCTTGTCCTTGAGGGGAAATCAGCAACCAAGGTGCCTACCAGAGCCCTCACTGCCTTGTCTGCCTTGGTATTCCAGGGTGCCCCCAACCAGGCTGTGAAGACACCACCTCGCTTGGTGTCGGACCAGCTGATTAACATCTTCTTCCAAGAATGGGCGCCGCTGTACCCGGTGGTACATCGTCCGACCATTCTAAAAGCTTATGAGCAGTATCTCAACAACACAGAGACCCTGCAGCGTAATCCCCATGTGATGGCCCAATTGAACCTGATTTTTGGTATTGCTGCTCTTTCATCAATGTCGCGAACCAATCAAGATCCGACTTTCTTTGAAGAGAATTGGTCGGCCACCCTTGATTCGTTCTCGAGTGAAACCTCCATTTCCAGTCTGCAGTGCTTCGTTCTTGGTCAGATTTATTGCATGACCAAAGGCGACTACCGCACCTTGCTTCGCTACCGTGCCCTAGGTGTGGATATCTGCCATCAGCTAGGAATGCACGAAAACCAAGAAAGCTCCGGAAACCCACTCGAGGACGAGACTTATAAGAAGGTTTTCTGGTCACAATATGTGCTTGACCGATTCTGCTCCGCGCTTACTGGACTGCCTGTCCTTTTGCGCGAAGAGGATATCGAGACTGAGTATCCGGTTGATGTGGATGATGAGAATGTCACAGAAACAGGCTTTTTGCCCACCCTTCCTGGCGAATCCACTCGCATCTCCAGTGCCATTGCTCTCTTTGGAGCTGCACGGATTCTGAACAAGGCTCTGGCAGATCTGTACCCTTCAAAATCTGGCTACGATGTGTGTGTCTCCAAAATGCGCTCGGTAACAGGGCAATTGGACGAGTGGCTTCACACACTGCCGCCACACCTTCGTCTCGAGTTCAGCCAGGACAAGCCTAGTACGAACGTCACGAGTAGTCGGTCGCCGCTCCTGGTAAGTCTCAGCATGGATTCATTAATGTTTACAGAATACTGACCTGCCATAGTCACTCGTATACTATTTCATTCGATCTTTGATTCATCGCCCAGCTGTCTGCTACGCTGACGAGACCCTTCGCTCTCAGTCTGTCCTAGCGGTGTCCGATTCAGCAAAGCACATCATTCAGATTCTTGAACTTCTTGACGAGAGGCGTTTGTGTCTGTCTGTTTGTGTTAACAGGAAAGAGCTCATCTTCCTTTCCGGCCTTGGACTCCTCTGGCAAATTCTTGATGTCAAGAACGATAGCAAACTGGCCAAGGATAGCCAGAAGCTGCTTGGCACTGCCATGCAATATCTCCAATTAGAGTCGAGCGCGGCGGCTGTTGAATTCAACATGCTGTCCAACACTCTGATTCCTCTGGACGGCGAAAGACGCCCTTCAGTGAGCAACCAGCACCAGGAGATGGTGGCGCCAACACAAAAGCCCCGAAAATCCCCCAAGAAGCACTTGCAGGCCCTAAAGTCTCGCCTTATCGCCTGCTCCACGCGTGATAAGCAGCCTCCCACCCAACAACCCTCTCCTCAATCCTCCCGCCGTAACACCATCTCCGGAGCCACACCCCCACTTATTCCCCAGTCGCTCCGCTCCCCTAGCTGGAGCAGCCTGCCCCTCTCTCAACCTGACCATCTCTCCGGCCCACTCTACCACAATGACAAGGCAAATTCTCCCTTGGATCTAGCCTCAGACCCTCGCTTATCCGCATCCTTGGGGTACGACCACTCACGCAACATGTCCTGCTCTACGCCCTCCGACCCCCAAGCTGGCGTCATCACAATGGCCGATTGGGAATATGTGCTGAGTGACATGGACCGCGGATACTCCAACATCTTCACAGGTATTTATGGCGGCAAAGAATGCGGCGAAGACCCGGGCCCGTTCGCCTCAATTGCAGCAGAATACAACCGCAAACCCAACGACTCTTCCCTAGTTAACCACGCACAGGGTGAGATGCACGACCTCTCGCCCGAGGCGTGGTCCGCCAGTAGTGGCGACTTCGTACATAAACAAGAACATACCGCGCAGAGCGTCCTGAGCTATTCAAGCGAGAGCATGGGAAGCGCCGAGGAATCTCTGGCGCCCTATGCCGATGTCCGGGTCTGTCCGGAAGATATGAATACGATGGACCCGTTCCATACTTTTGCTCTGCATGGTGAATGAGCTCGATGAGTTTCTTTGGTCGATGGGTGGGACCGACTCTTGTCCGTCTGATTGGTTATATAGCGCTGGGTGTCTTTTTGGAAGGATTTGGGTTTGACGCTTTTCTGTTCGATTCATGATACCTGTGGATGGGGGCGTTATTTGCCTTTATTTGTTTTGATTTTTGTCTGGTATTTTCCTCCATCTGCCTTGGGTCTTCTCTTATGTTTGGAAACATTTTTTTGTCTGTCGTAGTGGTACAGTATGCTTGGGGATAGGCGACGTCTAGGATGTCGTTATATGAATTTGATGATGATCAAACACTCGTTTGGACCTAATCACACCTGAAGAACGGAGTAGATCCATATGGGAATACTATTCTTACAAGCATACACAGCACAGCGCTTTAAACTCGGCCTAGGTTCTTGCTAGCTTCCTGATAGGAATGTTTTACCCCTCAGGTCTTTCTCTTCCTAGAGGATATTGTTGTGGAACATCGCATGGATTACTTGGAGGAGCAGCTATCCTCGTGTAGCAGCTGGTTAATGAGAATGGTCCTTCATAACCAATTGCAGTTTGATCCGAGGTGTTATGCCGCTGAGTCAGCGGAAAATTGAGAGCCTGTCTGGCTAATATGATTGGTAGGCCTCATAGTATAATGTATTCCAGAGATATCGTTATACTTATACTTCGAATGGTGCAACCACTTGGAGTGACCAAGATCGCGTAAATATCCATGGGTACACAGCCAGTAAGCAACACAGGGATCGGCTTCCGACAATTCCTATAAATTTCACTTTTCAGGGGACATCAGTCACCGTTTACACATTATCACCTTGAATCTACCTACATCTCCTAAGCTGACATCAACTCATATCCCAAAATGGGCGCGTGGAAGGAGATCCGGCCTCGGTTTTTGCCAGCTGTGATTATCATGTTTCTCCTCCTCCAGGTCCTTTTCTTAGTGAACATGTGCTATCTTTATGCAACGCAGTTCCGAAGTACCACCCGCTATCACAATTTCAATGTGCTCTATGTTGACTATGACGGTGGTATCATCGGAAAGTCAGTGTCAGACGCCTACCACCAACTACGAGGAGACGGGTTCCCAACCCTACTGCCGAGATCTTCTAACGAATATCCCCAGCCAGAGGATATTCGCGAAGCCGTATGCCGCGGTGAGTACTGGGCGGCTATTTACACTACCTCGGATGGATCAGCTAGTCTGGAATCAGCGCTGGCAAACGGGTCAAACCCGCCGACCTCACTCACTTACATCTGGAACGGGGTTCGATACCCAGTGTTCTCACAGGCCGCAGTCTACACCAACATCCTGAAACTGATCACAACCACCCGATCAACATACTACGCCAACGCTGGATCTTCAATAGTCGCTTCCGCCGACTTCTCTAACGAAGCCACCCTCAAAGCCTTCCTCGACCCGATCCACGCTGCAGAAATCAACATCAAAGGCACGCAGCAAGGCACAAGAGTCTTCTACAACACAGTCTCCATGGTGATACCAATCGTGCAACAGTTCTTCTTCCTCTTAGCGCTGAACGGGATCTCAACCCATCTCGACGCATTCACAAACCTATCCTGGAAAACCAACGCCCTGATCCGCGCCATAGCTTCTACCCTCTACACCCTCACAGGCTCACTGCTAATGGCCGGGTATATCTGGGCGTTCCGGGAGTCATGGGGACAGCGAGGAAGTCGGTTCGCGCTGACCTGGGCCATCATGTGGCTGTTAATGCACATCAACTTCCTATTCTTCGATATCGCGACTGCGTTCATCCCCATTCAGTTCATGCCGTTTGTTGTTCTGACGTGGGCTATTCTTAATGTCGCTAGCACTATTAGCCCGTTTGAGCTTAGTCCGGGGTTCTTTCGATGGGGATACGCGCTTCCGTCATATGAGGCGTACCAGGTCCTGGTTCAGATTTGGTCTGATGGGTGCGATAATCGGCTTTATCGGGCGCTTCCGGTTATGTTCTCTTGGTGGATTGTTGGGGTTCCTGTTGCGGTTTATGCGATGCGGTACCGGTGCAGGACTGCGGTGGCGGCACGGGAAGTCTTGGATCGTGCATGACCCGTATTTTGAAGTACACTAATTGACCGAGATTCTCCCGTCCAAACTCTACTTACGGTGGGTACCCGTGGCATGGAACGGTTGGAAACTCACGTTGCCTTCCTTTTGCATAGTAGATTCTCTGGGCCGGAGTACGATTGAATAGACTATCTAGCAGAAGCTTATGTGGTCTATGCTACCCAATAAGACGTCTAGAATTGAGGACTATAGTTTGATCAAATAATCCGGTTCAGTACTTTCGACATTTGGGTTTCTAGGTCCAAGAGAATCATGTAAGCCCTATGTCCTATAGTAATGTGAATAAAAGCAAAATGGACATGGACTATACTCAGCACTCACAAAAGTACAGCCAGGAAGACTATCACACGTCTTTCTACTCACTAGTCTATTTGTTTATCGACATTACTTCTGATTTGATTCAACCCAGTCAATATTGCGAGATTGCCATGTCCGGTAATGCCAAGCTTTGTGGCTGCCACCGATTACATCACTACTTCTCCAGACCTCGGGACCCAGACTACCGCGTGGCTGATTTCCCCGGAATATTCTTCCTTCCCACAAAAAACAAGAATCACGGGGGCCCAAACGCGGAGATTTTGCCACCGAAAGTCGGGGACGTGGAGTCTAGGGTTGAGATGCCGACCAACAGCAACGACGAACCACCCGCACACCCCGTAGCCGACCCGGGAGACCTTCCAAATCCGGATGGTATTCCCCGGACTATGTCTTTCTTGCGGAGATAAGCGACGCCGCGAAGGGTGCGTGCTCCGGGTTTCGGGTCAACGTGTCATCGGTGCGAGGCGTCCTTCCCGACTCGGTAACCATGAGTCCTCAGAACCCGGCTTCCGTCACTGTGCATGTTGCCTAGCCTTGGCTTTCTTAGCCAGGCACGGTTCTTATAAGAAGGCCAATCTGGTCCGGCTTTGATTTCGAAAATCAGTTGCGAATAGCAGATACTACAGGTAAAGAGTACTCGCTGGCGCTATGTTCGATAAGATCCTCAAAAAGCGTCCGCAGGACCTCTATGAAGACTCCCACGTCCCTGCAAATGAACAGGAGAATGGTCCCGGTGATGTCGTCGACACGCCTATTCCGCTCCTCACTTGGCGGTCGTTCATTATGGGCATTCTCGTCTCTATGGGCGGTTTCCTTTTCGGTTACGACACTGGTCAGATCTCTGGCTTCCTGGAGATGAAGGACTTCCTTGAGCGCTATGGTGAACTTCAATCGGATGGGACTTATCATTTCACTAATGTCCGTTCGGGTCTTATTGTCGCCTTGGTAAGTAGTGTGCTCTTTGTCATTTCTTCCTTCTATGCTAACACATCCAACCTACAGCTGTCGATTGGTACTCTGATAGGGGCTTTAGTCGCAGCACCGATCGCCGACCGCTTCGGGCGAAAGTGGTGTATTAGTTGGTGGTCTCTGATGGTGTGTGTCGGAGTCACGATCCAGATATCCTCGCCTTCTGGCAAATGGTACCAGGTTGCCATGGGTCGTTGGGTCGCCGGGCTCGGAGTTGGGGCAGTTTCTCTACTCGTACCTATGTACCAAGCCGAGTCAGGACCGAGGCACATTCGAGGATCATTGATTAGGTATGTTGGAAGCCAGCCCTATGGTCATCCTGTATCGCCTTCTAACTCTTATCAGTACATACCAGCTATTCATCACACTTGGAATCTTCGTTGCCAACTGTGTCAATTTCGGAACCGAAGCTCAACCCGGCCCCAGTTCATGGCGTATCCCTATGGGTATCACATATATTTGGGCTGCAATTCTGGGTGGTGGTATGATGTTCTTCCCTGAAAGTCCACGCTACGACTACCGCCATGGCAACGTGGAGAAAGCTATGAACACCCTTTCCAAAGTCTATGGTATCCCTCGCAACCACCGCGCTCTATACATCGAGTTTGATGAGATTAGACAAAAACACGAGGAAGAAAAGCTCAACGGGAAGGTTACCTGGATACAGACGTTCAGTGCCCCGACGATGGCGTACCGGATCGCTGTTGGCGTCGCTCTGCAAGCTCTCCAGCAACTGACGGGTGCTAATTACTTCTTCTATTATGTAAGTTTAATCTGGTATAATACAGGAAATACAACCAACTAACACCTACTAGGGAACAACGATTTTCAAGGGCGCTGGCATCCAGAACAGTTATGTCACGCAGTTGATTCTAGGCGCCGTCAACTTTGGATCAACGTTCCTCGGCCTCTACCTAATCGAAAACTGGGGCCGACGCCGTTCTCTTATAACCGGTGCGCTATGGATGTTCGTCTGCTTCATGGTCTTCGCCTCGGTGGGCCATTTCTCTCTGGACCAACAGTTCCCAGAGAGAACAAAAACCGCCGGCGTAGTTATGGTAGTCTTTGCCTGTCTTTTCATTCTTGGCTTTGCTAGTACCTGGGGTCCCATGGTATGGACGATCGTCGCTGAGTTGTTTCCTTCGCAATACCGCGCGCAGGGCATGTCTCTGGCGACTGCATCCAACTGGCTCTGGAACTTCCTCCTTGCCTTCTTCACGCCCTTTATTACCGGCGCCATTGACTTCCGCTTCGGGTATGTCTTCGCTGGATGTCTCTTTTTCGCAGCGGCTCTGGTTTACTTCGCCGTTATGGAGGGACAGGGTCGTACTCTGGAGGAGATTGATACTATGTACCGGATGAAAGTGAAGCCGTGGAAGAGCTCGAAGTTCCGGTTCCCTGCTAATCCAGACCTTATTCGGGCCTCATTGGATAAAAATGAGGAGGCTCCTATATCGTCTCATATTGATCTTCCTACTGAGATTCGAGAAGATGGGTCGGTGCCGGAGAGGCAAGCGCAAGCATGAGCGTGGTTGTGTATGTACCAATAGTCTTGCTTCTTTTTCTTTCATAACATCATTTTTTATTTAATCAGTTGGCATATAGCTTTCAATTTATATATTTCAAATATGTCCCACCGTATTCCTATTCCCCCGTGTGATATTCTCTAGAGAGTTGGGTCAACCTCGTCTGTAGACTTCTTCACAAGAATTCCATCCAAGTACCGGGTCAGTTCGTCCACATCGCCAAGTTCACCCACCCACCCGATATATTGATCCGGGCGAACGACCACCAGCGCCCCAAGAACCGGGTCAACTCCCCACTTCTCATATGCTTTTCCATCGCAATATCGATCAAACATGCATGCATCATCACACCAAATCTTGTCATATGCCCACCCTTCCACCGGATCAAATGGACGCAAAATCTCTGGGAAATCAAAGAGTTCTACCTCTTTCCACGGCGAAGAATGGATGGTAAAGACATCAACAGGACTCTTGAATCGACCAGGAATCTCCATGTAGCGGTTGAAAGGCGAACTGCTTGATCCAGCCTGTCCAGCCAAACCCCGAGTCAAAGTCTCAATGCGTTGCTTCTGCATTGGGTTTCGAATATCTCCAGCCAAAACTAGAATGCGAAAGCGCCCATCACTTTCCAGCGCTCTTGTTGTCCATATTGTACCACCATCAGCCTGATTGCGAAGCTTTGCCGGCCGGACCCTCTCCCCAGGAATCATATGCTGCGCAAAAGGAAATTCGGCATTATCTTCGGCCTTCCGAACAAGACTGCTCGCGGGGTAAAACACTTTCCATCCATCAGCAAAGTCCTCAAACTTCCCCGCAATAAGAGCCATATCCGAAGCCTTCGTATCCGCTCCAGGTTTCTGATCAGTAAAGATAGGCGACCAATGGCGATCGAAGTCAAGCAACATTTCCGCAAGTGGGTGTCTCTCCAAAGCATAAGTCCCAAGAACCTCCGGCTTGAGAGTACCCGCCACAGCAAGAGCAACTTTCCACCCAACATTAAACCCATCCTGCATACTCATATTCATCCCAAGCCCCATCTTGGGTGAGTGCGTGTGCACCGCATCACCGGCAAGGAAGATTCGGTTGTCTTTTGTGGATTGCGTGGCGATCCGCTGTCCGACTTGGTAGACAGTCCACCAGCTGCATTCCTCGAAGTCGAAGGTGAAGGGGGCGAAGATGGCTTGCACACGTTCTCGGATGAGATCCGATGTGATTTTCGAGCGGTCGAAGCGGTCGGTTGCGCCCGCTTCGCAGGTTTGCACGGGGACGTAGAATCGGACTAGGCCGCGCTCGCGTGGGATCACGAGGATCGTGCCTGCGGCGTTGGTTACGACGCTTAGACGGCGAACGTCCGCTGTGGAAATGTTAGTGGAAAGGGAGTGCACACTGTGGGTATTACTTACGGAAGTCGCTAACGGGTTTCACGTCTATCACGCCCCTGTATATGTGGTTATATTAGCTGCTGTAGCATGGGTAGTTAATGTCTACCACTAACCATATATGGTCCGTGTTAGACCCTTCCACGGGGATGTTTAGCTGTTTTCTGGTCCAGCTGTGGGCACCATCACAGCCGATCAGATACTTGGCTCTGATTGTCTCGACCTGTGTCTTCTGTGGTTTTGTACGCGGGGCTAGATCGGCCCAGTCATCAGGAAGCAGGTTACTGCGGTTCACCTCGATGCCAGCCGCTTCGATTTCCTGTCCGCACGACGAATTCGAATCATCTTCGCCAAGAACTCGGACCTTGACAGTGATAGGATATGCGTCGGGATCATTGCTCAGTTTCTCATCGTATTCCAAAGAGTCGGCGATCACACTCCGTTCCACGTCAAGATCAGAGTGCTCCCGAATACTATCGAGAAGGAACCGCTCAATGCGTCCCTGGTTCAAGCATGTATTGTGGAAGGGAGACTCGTCGACCCTAAATATGTCAATCTGAGCCTGTCGGACAAGCTTTCCCTCCGGTCCGGGAACCTATTTGTTGGTATCGTCAGGCAAGTCCTAATCTTGGCGAAAAACAAGGTAATACACACCCAAATGTTCGCCTCAGTAGAGACTGATCCCTCCGGCATGACACGGTTTTGGAAACCCATACTGTCAAACAACTCCAGCGTGCGCGAACGAAGCCCGTCTGCGTGGCCTAGAAAGACTTTCGTGGCACGATTGTCGATGATGCGTGCGTTGACTCCGTAGCGAGCCATCCAGTACGCTGCCATCAAGCCGGATGGTCCAGCACCAATGATGAGTCTGCGATAAATATTAGACTATGTTAGGTAAAGGTAGGGGGAACTTACACATCGGTTTGGGACTGAGTAGACTCTTGTTCTTTGTCCATCGCGACAGGATATATATTTCTGAGCAGATGCTAAATGATGACCCGTAGATAGAGATAAGAACGATTGTCCATTCAATTCAAGTATCCTTTATATAAAGGAATGTGGGCTTGCTGCGCTACATGATCCTAAACGAGGGGGCCGGCCCCATGTAAAGCTGACTCAAGTCACAGACAATCCTGGGATTATAGAACCCAAAATCGATCCTAATTCAAGGGTCTTCCGTGTTAATTTATTCAATAATTCTCTTGTAGGCTCCATATACGACGAGATTTATATCGAGCCCAGATCAATATGCCATCCATATTAGTCAGGTGCTCTGGTTTCCTGTTGTGACGTGGAGTTCCAGCAGCTGAGATGAGTTGGCGGATTTTTAATGTACCCATGTAGCGCAAACTGACCTAACTGCGATGTTGCTCAACCTGGGCTTGGATGATTGGCTTTGAGCCGGGGGATTTCCCCGAACGTTCCCCTCACACCTCGTCGGAGTTGAGGTTCCGGGGGTGGCGATTGCATCGGGAGGCCGTAAACTCCTTGAATGCTTATTCATGGTATTGATCAAGGAGGCAACATGAATGA